GAAGGTATCGAAACTGACTTGCTCTGAGAAGCGACATAATCTTGTGTTGGTCCTAACCAGTAAGTTCAGCACTTGTAATGCAGGGAAGAATCTCTGACTTTGAATGGCAATTTTGGAAAAGTTTAGAGCAGAGCAGGATACTCGTAAGCAACTCTCTCTGTACCATTGGCTCTTCCTTATAAAGGATAAGGGACAAAGTTTTTGACGTTGGTCAATCCCATCTGTGGGATGCGCCCCTGCAGTCGACTTCCATTCAGAATCGTAGCGGCGTAATGAGTGCGTATGTGCCCTATACAATGACTTGCGGTGGCCAGCCGATGTACTAGTCAGTGCTTTTTTCCTCCCAGACGAGTCTGGTACCAATTCACCGACCCCAGAGGGATAGATGGCTTGGTTAACCTATGCGGGCATCGATCCGGGATTCGAACCCCTGACCGTGCGTGTGATGTAATGCGCCACTTTCCGCTACACCCCTTCCGCCGGCTCTTCCTTATACATTTAGTGAATCGCTTCCTCGATTTACTCCCTCGCCATAGAGTGCGTAGCGTAGGTAAAAATATCGTGGTTGGTTTGAATAGGTCCTTGACTTGTGCCCTTTCAGAATAGTTCTTACAAAGATGATGTCGTCTGAGTCGCTGAACAAACACTGGTGCGAAAAAGGCTCACTACATCAAAATTTCTGTGTGTTCACAACTTTTTGCAGCAATTTCTTGCTCACTTTGTGAACGAACTTTCTTTTGTGAACGTTTCGTATTCTGTTGGAGGTTGGCTCTATGGTATGAACTTTGCCCCTTTCAACAATAACTGGTGGCAACTTTTAGATGTAGATGTCACTGAGGACAAAATTGTACAAAAAGATGAGTATACGCTGGAAATTCATTGCTGTGAGGTTTTTTAGTAAAACAGAAGCCCCTATGAAGCCAAAGTCAGAGAGATTACACTTTGCTGTTTCGGTTGTTTGCCATATCATTCCATCTTTTGAAAAGTAAGTAGTAAAAGTTGCATGTTGTTGTCCAAGTAACCAGGCGAATGTTGAACATAACCTCTGCAGAGGGGTCGCATTACATCGTTGTATTGACATTCCACTCTGAACAAACTTCTTTGAAGTAGATTGTTCAATATTGTTGGATTTCAAGATGTCTGTTGAAAAAACAAAAATCAACATATTAGCCATTGGCCACTAACTTAATGGCTAAATACATTAGTTATGTGAGATGTCTCTGTCCGAAATTTAAGTATGTAGGGGTACCGGAGAAGGAACAAATTTCATAGTGCAAGGAAAACAGCAAAGTGGTCAGAAAGCACAAAAATGAGTTGGAGTCCTCTCAGAGGCCGAAAATTTGCTCATAACTCGCCATCCTCTGAGGGACAATCTCTTCTTGCTTTTCATACTGACTCGAGGCATTACTGCATCCATTCTGAGGCTCCTTCTGCCGTGACAACTCCATAGATCGGTTCCGTCAGCGCTGAGCTTTTCCCCGCTCGATAACTAGCAGAAGTAATTTCACCATGGTTTGTGTTTTCAAACAACTGGACCGGGACATTCAAAGCATCAGAATGCCAGCCAAAAATATCGTCGTCCAATACTGAAAACCAAGAATCTATTAAGTGATGCGGTAGATACTTAGCCGTTGAGCAGCAGCCGTTCAGACAATGGGATGACGAAGTCACGATATGTGCAAGGTTCCCCTCCAGCCTGGTATTGCCATCTCTTGAAAATAATCATTTTTGTGAGGTCGGTCACCCTCCAGGAGTGTGTCTTGGCAAGAGTCCCAGTCAGAAACGTTGAGCGATTCAGTAAATGAATTGCATTTGTTTGCATTTTGCTATGTGATTAGCGATTCGCTCTCAAAGCACGTGAACAAACATTGTACTGTTTGTTGTGCGTGTTTTCGGCTGCACCACTTATAATTGCCATAGATATTTATTGAAAAAATGCTATCGAATTTCAGCATTCTATGTATGAGGATCTCCAGCGTAGCTGCTATGAAGGGTACTCAAACATGTACAGAACCTCAACACACGTGAACTTACCAAGCATTCTGTGCTCACCATCAGTGAGTGGTTTGAATATCGCTGTTACTGGCGATTTGGCGTTTTCTGTGACAAGAAAATGCCAGTTCCAGAAGATGCGAATTGAATCAGAAAAAATCTATCTACAGAAACTTTATGCAACCAGTCGCGACTTACGGTGTATTGTGATGGTATGTGAGCAGGGAAGCTGAAGGCTGGCACCAATACAACAGAAAGTTCAACCCCAAGTGAGGCCGACGATGAACAAGAAGCGCTTTGTCTAATTTAATTGCTTTTGAAATGAAATTTCTGGAAGACCTTCATCAACCGTAGCCTTGATCAAAGCTGTTTTGAAGTCGTCTAGCTAATCCTCCGCATGACATTATCTACTGGTAGGAAGAAGTGGTTGCAGCCTTGGTTGTAACCATGCAGTCGTTCTATCGAAAGCCCTCTAAGAGTAAGTAGAGAAATAGGGAAGTCCATTAGAGCTGTTCAGAAATCACCAATGATCCCTGATGACTGAGTTGGGCGCGTTTGGAGAGAGTATAGAGTGAGCAGTCTCAAAGTTTCACTGTTGACACATTGCGCTCTCAGCAGCTCATAGATCAACTTGTTGACTGGGAAATTCAACACAATAGACGAACTCGTCACTTTGGGCTTGCTGGTACCCAGAAAACTCGTGTCATTCAAAACACAAGTAACAACTATCGTATAGAGACCACCCAATCGTATAGAGACCACCCAAAAACCAAAGACTGGGGTCTTTTGTTGCCTGCTTCGAACTTGCAGCCATTTGTGACTGTCTATTGTGAATGATAGCAGTGTTGTTCTTATGTTCAAAGCTCTTGCTGTGTTGTTGTTAACTGTGCAGGCGCCTCATATTCTTTGGTTCCGGTCTTATGCATTACATACAATGCAATTCTATTCAAATTGAGAGACCCAAGGGTACTTAAACTGAGATGCTGTTTATTTAAGTGACTCATTCTAGCCTAGTCCAACTTTAATTTCCGAACCTTGAAGTCTCGAAAATTCGGTTAGCTTGTGAGGCACATTTATTCATGTGCGAATGGATGCGCCATGCGTTTGACCTCCGTCCGGAAAAGGGCAAAAAAGAGCATTCGATATCCTTGTACACGACAACCACGACAGCCGATCCAATGGATGAGAGGGAAAAGGTTGAAGGAGGAATGAGACGCTCTTTTACTTGAATACTCAAGTTACTAGTGACCACTTTCAATGAGATGCTGTTTGCTGAAGACTAGTTTTGAATGTTTTCCTTGTACTTTCTTTCTTCTCGTGAGAGCAGTAGGAACTAGGCTGTAATCCGTAGTGCCATAGTGATATAGGTTGTCCCCTGTTAGACTGGCTCATTCTGGGCCCAGAAGCGGTAGGGTACTCCAAATGTTTATTGTTTCCACCACATCGACCTTCTCTTCACCTACATTGATAAAAGCAGTATAGAACTTACTTGTCCAACTTACTGGAATTGGTCCGGATTTGGGAGATTTGAAGGGTAAAAGGTTCATTCATTCAGTTGTCACAAACCGCGTTACAAGCACTCTGGTACGGTTCCAATCTGAGCGAAGTCAACTTCACAAGAATGCTCAAAAGGCTACCTTTCTTCACGAATGATCCAATAACAAGTGTTTTGAGTTGTTCAAGAGCATTGTTTTTGTAGACAAAGGTTTACACAAGGATCCAGTATGATCAGTAGTGTTTTGCTTTCTTTCTACCGCGGAGGTACGAGTGATACCGGCTATGAACTGGCTTCCCGATCAAACATTGTATCTTTACCTAGATCTCTAGACAGGTTGCTCATCCAGATCCTATCAGTTTCTTCTCTTTAGAGACAATTTTGACTGCTACTTAAATGGTCTCCTCTCCGAGATCTCCTTTTCGATATAGCCCATATTGGTCGTTAAGCGGTCGAGCAGTGTCAGCAATGCCTGCAGTCCATTATATCAAAATTCATTTAGGTCAGCTGGGCTTCATGACTGCGTCTGGATGCGTATTCGGCTTGTAAATGGATTGTGAGGGTCATCTAATAGGTATGTTCTTGTTTGGTTCTTCCAGCCCACTCTGATACCAACTCATTAGATTCGAAATGATGGATCTCATGGAGGCATGGTTGAAAACAAACTTGGAATGCGTCCTCGAGCTAGTAGCGACGCTATTTAGCACTATTCCAGCCCACCCCTTTTAGGGTCTGTTACTTGCTATCCATTTTTCGTGAAGTAATGAAAACGCTCACTCCACAGCAGCAGCCTTAAAGACGGCAGTGTGGTGGCCACTTCTTATAGTTCAGCCATTCCAAAAACGGCAGCTTCATAATTGCAATATAAATTACCTAGCGAGCGAGGTCTCTGAGTTAATGAAGCTTTTGGGACCAGTTTCAGCCATTCCGAAGAAGATTCAGTTCGTGCTGGTTATTTTTATGCCAGCGTCACATTTTGAGAACGGATTCCAAGTTCATCGCGAGCACTTTGAAGGAGTAGGGATCCCAGGTCATCGCGAGTACCATCTGCGAGCATCGACTGCATCCACTGAGATGATCCAAATCGAGAATGCTTCGATCTTTCCGACTCTTCGAAACTACGAATATTTGCCTGTACACACCATTCTTCCCATAGTCACCCTCAAGGCATGCTCCATTGGAAGTCGTCTAAAGATGTTCTAACTGGTATCTTAAGATGGCAGCATAGTCACAGTCAATGAGTCATTTCCCCTCTGCAGTTGTTTGTAGGACCGCGACCTCTGAACTTTTCCCGATCTTTACGCAACGATTGCATTTCATCGGTTATGAGCTGAAGGGCAGGCGTGGCTGCTCCGCTGAGCTGGGTGTGATGACGGCAAGCGACGCTGCTCCCATGGCACTCATGGTTGACGGCGACCTGTACCCTCTGTGAGTCGGGATCCATCAAACAAACACTACACCTGCCCTCATCGCTCGTATATAAGTGACTGCCAACGGTGCGCCGATCTTACAACCGAAAACTTCTCGAAACTTTGCCAGCGCCATTTAACGTCTCGAAAAGCAAATTCGTCACAATGAGATTGCTTATTCTCGTCTCTGTTGCCATCATTTGTGCCCTTGCACAGTTTGTTCCGGTGAGACAATTACATTCATAGATGTTTGCCTTTTTTTATATTATTTACTACTATTTTTGTTTACTGATCCCATGTTGAGTATGAAATTGATCAATTTCAGCAGTACCAACAACATCCGAACGCTGTTCCACAGATGCAGCTCCAGAATCCCCCTCCACGATTCAGCCAATACAGGTAACTTTAGTTCCTCATGGAAACCTCTCAAAAAGCAGAAATTCCTGGTTTTTACCAACAATTACTGTAAATTCAATTGCAGCAGTAATAGCCAATACGGACAAACTTCTGGATACGGTACTCAATACGGTACTCAGTACGGTCAGACGTCAAGTTACAACAACGGTTACAACAGCAACAACGGATACACTACAACACCGTCGTACTACCAAAATGGTTACACAACTACCCAATATGGTACAAACCGACTATATGATAATGGAGTCTACTACAACGGTGTAGCGTCCACGACGGCTTTGGCTGCTGTATGCACTGCTGCCATTGCCTACGTCTTGTAGATAATTTGATGCTCAATGGAAGCCTATGATCTTGTCGTTCGTGTGAATTTCTCCCGGTTTATGTATAGTGTAATTGAAAAAGATTCAATAAATATCTTCGCTACTACAAAGTACAAGAACGAATGGTGTGTAGCCCTGATAGTGACTATTAGAGCTTCACTACAATGTCGAGATGGTGTCAGCTGACCTATGATGTGCATTTGTAGATGTCAAATTGATAACCTATCCTGTAATGAGCGGGTTCGGCCTGAAGAAGCTTTTTGGGAATGGTCAGGCGTTGCAGGATCAGCGCATGGCATTTATATGAAAAAGCGGCTAAAAAATAAAAAAAAAAGGCGCGAATGAGGCTCAGCGATCGCCAGCAACGCCCTCTCTTGGTAGCTACGCACACTAGCGAATGTGTCGAGGGAAAATGAAGAATTTCGGCCAATTGATATGAAGAATCGGCAATGCAACCGTGAAACTATCGTTATCAATGGCAAAACCGATGGGTCATTGAATGTGATGTGTTGTCAGGAGTACGTAAATTTGGACCCGAACGACGTTCTTCACAAATCAAGTTTCGCGCAAGTTCAAGGGGTCATTAAAGCATGAAATGTATCTGTCAAACTTCAATGATAGCGGCACGGTCTCAATGTATAAACACGGTTATTGCAGTTTGGAGCAGAGAGACCGCTATCAAAGCCCAGGAAGAAGCATCAGCCCCTTTGACACAAGCTTCAAGGGAGATTTTTTTTCGAGGATATAGCATATGAGGAAATAGCATAGCGATGGAGATGTTGGACGCAGCAGGTTCTCAGGGAGAAAGCCGAACTATTCTTGTGAGATCTGGATCAGAAAACGAAGTTGTAAGCCGTACCGTGCATCTGTACCAGCAGCCTACCTGATTATACTGTAGCTAAGGCATTCCTTCTTGTAGCCTTCTGCTTAAAGATGGGCACACTGATCATTGCTTACTTTTATAACCTGTACATCAAACAAAGGCGCATTTTGGGGATTTCCCTTTTTTGATGGAGGTTTTTGAGCTCGTCTTATGTTGTACCCCCAGGACAGGAAATGACCTTGAGCAGAAACATCGCAAGTAACACAGAAAGAGGGTGATCCAGTTTATTCCAGAACCACGGAGATCGGTTAATTTTGTGAGTTTTTCCATATCCTTTGTTAATGTCCTTCAATGTTGTGTTTGTGAATTGATTACGACACTTATTTGCTGTACGATATTATCGGCCATAATTGCGTTGGCTACCTGGAATAAGTTTTTCATTCCGAAACTCCTCGTAATAACTCTGATTTCAAGTATGAACCCATGAGGCTGCATGCTAAGCCATGCTTTCGGCTTCTAGAGTTATCCATGCTTACTAAGGTTTTACGCTCGCCCAATCGAACGCGATTTCAACTAGTTTACGTGGGTGTATAGTTTGACGGCTATCTTGGAGGCCATTTTAGTACTTCATGCTACGTCTGAACACCAGAAATATCTAGATGAGCATAACTTTGTGCCTTTCCGCTGCCCAGAAACGCCCAAACATTAGCAGTTCCATCGCAGCAGATAATAGAGTAGTCCAGCCGAGCATCGCTCGACAGATCGGTCCTCACTCTGGCGAAAGTATAGCTCAAGGACTCAGAGCACTGACCTCTTCCAACTTTTGTTTAGCATTCAAATGGCCGTATTTCTTTATTTGTTGCTCGCTAGTACTAACTGGTTTATCAGCACTTATATCCTTAAAATAGCTGTATCGATGGGGTTTGCCTCCTTGAGCTTAAAGAGCTCCAATTGATCACCTTTGTAAAAGCTTGAGCAAGTTTGAGCATCTCCTGAATGCTATCACTGTTCGCCTGTTCACAAGATGAGAATTTACGAATACCCTGAAATGATTAGACTGCGCCTTCTGCGGCTTGGATCCATTACCAGGGAATACAGCACAGTCGAGACATCCGNCCTTGCGGACTGGCGAACTCGAGTAACTTCTCCTTTTCCTCGGGATCAGTCGATATCGAAGCCAAGGTCAGGAAAAACGATTTTCGTGGAATCATTTGCAAGTCNAATATCTAGATGAGCATGACTTTGTGCCTTTCCGCTACCGAGAAACGCCTAAACATTTGCAGTTCCGCCATAGCAGATAATAGAGTATTCCAGCCGATCATCGCTCGACAGATCGGTCCTCACTCTGGCGAAAGTATAGCTCAAGGACTCAGAGCACTGACCTCTTCCAACTTTTGTTTAGCATTCAAATGGCCGTATTTCTTTATTTGTTGCTCGCTAGTACTAACTGGTTTATCAGCACTTATATCCTTAAAATAGCTGTATCGATGGGGTTTGCCTCCTTGAGCTTAAAGAGCTCCAATTGATCACCTTTGTAAAAGCTTGAGCAAGTTTGAGCATCTCCTGAATGCTATCACTGTTCGCCTGTTCACAAGATGAGAATTTACGAATACCCTGAAATGATTAGACTGCGCCTTCTGCGGCTTGGATCCATTACCAGGGAATACAGCACAGTCGAGACATCCGCACCATTCCATCAATCCATGTTTTCTGATTCAAGCATAATAGCATTTTCTGTTCACGAGTAGTCAGTTTGTAAGCACAATTCATCGAATAATACCTGAAAAGATAGTTGACATAAGATTCAGCTGCTCGCTTGCTGGAAATAGAGTTCTGTTGGAGAGCGACGTTCCATCATCATTGCCTAATCTATGGTCTTTGCCCATGCCTGGCTCCCTCTTACGGAGATTTCTGGATAATCCATCTGCCCCGCTCCCTCTCCCTCTCACAGTTGATATAAAGGAAACCTCACCTCAATCCTAAGCCATGCACTGTAGACACAAGGCTTGGTCGGACTAGATGTCCTATATTGCTGGTGACTTGACGGGCTTCGGCTGTTGGAGCGCATAAGCGAGGGTTCACCGCTAGTGGATTAATGGAGCGGAATGCATCCATCATCACCTGAACATAGTTTCTTCTGACGTTACCACCTACACAACATTGTCAAGCATGGGTACGCCTTTCTGTTCTCGATGCCTTTTATCAGAGGTCAGACATCATCTGCAAGCATAGAACTCACATTGCCTTTTACACTTTGAATTGGATCCACTACCAAGGCCACAGCTCTCGGATGAAGAGCTTCGAACGATTGTTGGGTGTTAACGTCCACGCTCGATAGCCAACAACCAAATCCTGGATGGGAGTGATACCTAAAACATCAATCACCTTTTTCGGAGGGTTGACGAACTCGGAAAATAACTAGAAATTCTTCACTCCGAACGCGCTACAGCTGCAATTCAAAAATCGTTCTTAGTAAGTTGCCACGATACGGCGACTGACTCTGAAGGGCAAGTGGATCGCTACCACTCGTAGAGGATCTGTATCGTTATATCGTGCCCCTTATCGTTATATCGCTATCCTTTGAGCCTTCAGACCCTCAAGGGTCGGTTGAATGCTGTCAGGCTCATCTGGGAGGATAAAAGCGCTGGCTTGAACTTCTGCTAGCCACCGCAATCTCTTCTTGGGCCACTTACGCATTTCAAACGCCCACGCTTTCACGATTCTGAATAGAAGTCGAATGTAGTGGCTCATCCCAAAAACGGGATTGATTAACCACTGAAGTAAGCTCTACCGTCCTCTCTAAGACACCCCAACATGGCTTGGAGATATTGAGGCAGGCGAACAGAAGGCGGCAGGCCGTTTGGGTCTCCGCCACTCAACCCAGCATTATCATTTTACAAAGTCACTGATATTATGTATTCAGTGTCTATTCACCATCCGACTACCATTTCCGTACGGCCGGTTTGCTTTAGCAAATCCATATGTTTTGTCTGATAGACGGGATCCACCGACTCGACCGTAACGCTCTGAAATTCTCTTGGAGTTATGATCAACCTGAAGCCTTTACTGCTAAGTGAACCTAAACGCAGATTGCAATCAAACTTACAGTTCCGCTCTGAGGCATAGCGAATACGTCCACGACATTAATAGTGTAATCATCCACAAAACTACCCAACATAAGACCCATAACCTAGAAAAACAGTGCTGAGTTTTCTTCCGAGATAAACCGAGCGAGATTCCCTGATAGACACACCTCCAGCGGTACACCGCTTCTCGCATGTCTCATCATCTTCAGCAATGCCAACGCGGACACGAATACCGTTTCGGCCGAATCCGGGTGGGATGGGTCGTCTGTCACCTCTTTAGTGCCCATCTGCAAAATTATCATTCAAGTGGTCAGGCGAAATGAGGCTACAAGCACTTGTGGTCCCAAAAATATAGCAGGATCTCTCAATTCTCAAGTGGTACCCAGATGTTGAGGCCGGCGAAGATATCGGTCTCAGCATCCGAGCCAATATCGGGCAACTTCTAACAGGTTAAGGAGAGAGATCCACCGATGGAATTCGCTCAGTGATGCCAAGAACTGGCCCAGTCTGGCCGCATTAGGACCACTGTTTCACGCTCCGTGGTTCAGAGGATCGGCATAGGGAAGACCCACGTTCATGGCAAGACCACGCAGCAAGCGATCCATTTTGCAGTAACAATCTGAAAAAATGACTCTCGCTGCTTTTCGAGCTTTTATATCACCTCTCATTCTTATCATTATCAGTCTATTGACAGGTCGTATTCGATAATTATCACGGAGAGTCACCTAAATCGTATCAATCCCCGCCAATGTGATGTCTAGAGTGGAGAGGATTCTCTGACCCGAAGAGGTGTGCCACATTCGCCCCATCCGAGTCCGCGCTCTGAATCCGGCGGAGATTACAGTGATTGCTGCAAAAACACTGCCACTTTACGAGGAGCCCCGGGTGGAAATACAGTCACCCTGTTTGGGTATTCGCGGTGTATTTTTAAGAGTCAGTGATAGCAGCTTTCAGCCGATGTTAGTTACAATCAAGTAGCTCTGATACTACAGGTGTGAGTATTTGTGCCTTTCCGCCAGAATCTTGGCTTCCGTAATGAAACTATTTTCTGTACTGCCGGGGAGATGGAATTTATTTTGGTGAAACCGTTTTATTTGATAAACGTCTGAAGCAACTCGCCTTTGAAACATATTTGGCTGCACCTTGCCCGGTCAAGCGCCTCGGGACTTTAGACCAGTACCAATGAATTGCAAAGACTTGGACACAGCTTTTTCATTCAGTTTGCCCTGTTCACTGTAATTCCTTTAGTTTGTGGCAGGTTTTCCATATCAATACATTCAAATCATAGAAACTTCTGCGGACAGACATACCGACGAAGGCTGCTTTCAGTTCGCGATTGGCTCGCGAGCGACGGGCGCGGCGCTAGCCCCTTGTTTACAACTGTGTCCTAATCGATACCGCCGGACGAGTAGTCCCCTGTCGATATCTTGCGCGCTCGCGGGCAAAATCGCGGACTATGAAAGCATCCAAAAAACCGACAGACCACAGCTTTATGTATAAGAAGGACTAATTTCGAACGCTGAATCAATCCACTGTACTGAAACCTCTAAATTTGAAGTAGATGGTGACCTTTTGCGCTTATATCTTTTATTTTGCTTATTTATCTAGTTTATATGCTTCATGAGACAACGACATATCAATTCTATCAAATCGAATCATCGAACAATATCAAGAAGTTATGGAATCTGAGCCATGCACTGTTAAATAATGTTGAGATTCCAGCGATTCCAATATGATAATCTATGTATCTATACTCTCTAGACAATAACTCTATGCCTATGCCTAAAGCATGCAATCAGCACCAAAACAACAATACCTGGATATTACCATAACACCATAATTATCACCGGTTGTTTCTAAACAGGATATGGCAAACACAATAAAGCCTATATAGGCAAACTATGACCACGTCTCATACTGTATACGCCCTGAGCTCTCCAATTTCTTCAGGAAAGTGCCTTCTGTGTATCCATGATCAGATGCGACTGCTTCCAGTGCAGCGCCAACATCCTTAGGCATATCTCCTGCACTTCCGGCTATGAACACAAATCCTGAAGGTAAGGAAAAACTTGAAAAAAAGAAAACTTCAAATTATTATAGTATCTCATGTTTCAAAATATTATAGTATCTCACCGTCTTCCCGTCCAATAATATCCCAAACCTCATCAGCGTGTTTCAAAATCAAATTCTGCACATAAACCTGAAATGGTTCAGTGAGACAGACATGCTTGAAGATATTCCCTACTATTATGACAAGGTCCCAGCAGCAATGATCAGAAAACAGGTGGCCGATCTTGTACCTGGAATACACTGGCGAGAGGCAGTGGCTTCCGGTCAGAGTCAGGATCTGGGACCAAGCCCTAGATTTGAATTCACTCAAGATAGCAAAGCCGTGCGATCGCTCTCAGTCCATTATTTAGAGAAGGACTCGTTCGAAAGAGGAAAAAGTGGTTCAAGGAACGACAGACCCCTTAGCTCACTGAAAAGGAAGAGGTTCATATGAAGGTACCACTACGATTCGCAGTGGGAATTGGCGCAACCAAAATCGCACTGATCAGTACAAGGATCATTTTCAAAGGGCAACTGACTTCTTACCCATGGACTGGATTCGACCGAAACTATCTGAAGCTCTCATATTTTTGAGAGGATGTGCTCGCTAAAGGGTGACGGTGACAGTCATGGCTCACTCGAGAGGTGCTGATTAAAAATTCATTTCCCATTACTTCCCCTTTACACAAAACCATTACTTCCGTACTACCAACTATTATAATACTTAAGATTTGAGGTGGAAAAGAAATAAAACTTTCACCTTCTGACCTGGTGTATCCCGACTGAATGCAGTGAATACCTGGGTACTAGGCATCTCACTCCACTCGGATTCAAAGTAGAAATCCAACTTTTTTCCTCGACAACCAAAAAATAATATTGATTTGACAGCTGTGCTGCTTCTGAATAGGGACTTTTACGAATCATGAACAAGATAAAGAAAGGTATAGACTGAAGGGATGGGTTCTTGAAACTGGGGGAGGTATCGAAAAAGTACGAGTAGAAGCTAATGGTGGAAAAAGACAATGGAATTCTTTTCTTAATCCTTGCTTTCATCAACTCAATGACCCTGTGTATTGACCTCAATTAATAAATAAATAAGATATAGTAGCTACTTGGTTATAACCCAGTATCGAAAGGTACTTGGCTCCCTAAGCATGCGCATGGCGAAAACGTTGAATACCATTAGTATCTCTTGTTCCCCTCCGGACCAAATCTACTTTACAATAACACTGGACTGCAGGTGGTGTAGTGGCTAGTGGTACATTATCACTCCTTTATAGTCGGTAGATCGAGTCGCGGATCGGTATCCGTCTCGACCAACTGAGCCTTTCATCCCTTCAGGGTAGGATTCCTTCAGGATAGGATAATTGGTATCAGATTCGTCTGAGAGAATGAAGCACTGGCTTTACATCATCTGGGCACCGTAAGCCATTATGTAGGCCACACTGGCATTCAAACCGCCGCTACGATTCTGAGAGGGATTCGAAGAAGGAGAAGCATCCCAAATACGGGACTATTTTTATTGATAAGCAATAATACAAACCTCCCTTACCTATTTCTCCAAGTGAGATAACTTCGAAATGGGGCAACACCCGTTCCAGGACCCACACAAATCACTGGTTTATCTTCCTCTGGAAACTTGAAAGTGCCCGGTCGTATCTTGACGAACACCTGAACTGAGAAAACGCTGAAAAGGGGAATGTTAAGTCTATAAATGATGCACAAGGGAATACATTATCTCCAGGTTTCAATCGTGAAATGAACGTGCTGCATAGTCCGCGCCTCGGCTCTGCCATGCGAGTTTTGTATTCCACCTAAGAAAACACATGATATCTCGATGGCTCCTGTGATAGACCAACGAAAACTACCTTCGCTACCAGAATCTCAATAGAGTTTTTCGAAGGCGCAGAGGCAATACTGAAAGCCCTTGGGCGAATGTTAGTGAACAAGTCAAAAAGACGCTCAGGTGGGATTGCGGCCGACGTCGTCGAGAAGTCTCGAAGCACTTCAGCCGTTGTTCTGCGACATCTTACCGCATAGTCAAGATAGTCATCCTTAAATAAATCTTCGAATACATCGTCAGAGAGCCAAGAAAATACGATGAAATGCTTAGATCTATGACGTACTAGGCCTTGCGGACTGGCGAACTCGAGTAACTTCTCCTTTTCGTCGGGATCAGTCGATATCGAAGCCAAAGTCAGGAAAAACGATTTTCGTGGAATCATTTGCAAATCGAACAAGCGAAGGAAGCATGTGCGTAAAGTGGGTTTTGCTAAAATGATGCATCTCAAAAGTCTTGCTATGCAGGTTCTTGATCAGTTCTATCGCCTTGATGATAATGATGAAGTGCCCGCCTCTTGTACCGGGTGTGGTGCGGTTCACGCGTCAATATAATGAGGTCATCAGAAAAAACGGGCTAAAACATCATGCCTAACATCATAACGGAAGAAATAAGAACTTATAAGTAGAATAAGTAAAGTAATGACCAACTAAGCACGTTTACAGAAGGATTGCGTTTTCTGGGATCAAAAAACTTGAAGGTATTCTTATTTTGAACGTTTGACAAGTAAATTGTTGACCTATGAGGTGAATTCTCAATCTCGAAGGGGCTTTTTTGCCATAGAAAAGAGATTTGCTCTATTCATGGTGAAACCGTGGACTACTGCAAATTTATTTGGTCCATCACAACAGAAAGGTACTGAAACGATGCTGCGTGCGCGAAGAGCTCTGATGGGGTCACGCGTGAATAGCGCNCCCCCCCCCCCCCCCCCCCCTCTTGTACCTGCACCTCTTCATAGTTACCAAGTGACACATCCTAAAATCAATTTACGTTCTATATAACGCCCGAACTATTCCACCCTTTTTTTAGGTATAGCAGAGAACGATAAAAAGGTGTCACTGACGGTTCGGGTTCCGAAATTTCCAAGCTCTAACAAGGAAGTACCAAGTCGAATAGTTTCTTTTAAGCTATGATTGAAGTGGGGATAAGCTGGTCTTCCTTTGAGCTTTTATCAGAAGGAGATGATGCTCTCCTTTCCAAGTCGATACCTTTCGCAGTAACGTTCTATAGTAGTTTCATGACATGAAAATTCTTACTTCCTATGAGCCATTTTGGTGGAAGCTTCACAAATTCGTCTGACGGAAGCAATTGCAGAGGACGATCCAGCACTTCGTCCGGATACTTGAGGGCCCCTAACGCTATGTGAATTGATTCACTTAAATTACAAGGCTGAACCATGAGAACATCGCCTGGATCATAAATATACTGAGAATCCCTGAAATAACTCCGCTTTAAAACGCTTACCAACATCCTCTTAAGGATAACATCTAATCTAATCAAAGTAGTTGGAGAAAACTTGCCGAACCGGTGGAAGATCAGTGCTTGAGAACTTCACAAGACGAGTATCCTACAAAGAAACTCGTTAGGCTATTTACAAATAAACTTCTGGGACAAGAAACCCTACCTGGAAATGTTCAGTCGCTGTTACTCGGCAATTAGAGTCCACTACAACCTCGTGGTATGACTCCGCATCAGATTTTACTCGAGTTTCAGGGCTATCGCTCTCGAATAGTAGCTGATATTTTGGAGGAACGATAGTTGAGTGATCAATTTCTGGCTTCATGTTCTACAAAAAATGCCATAATTGCAGAAAACAAAACTATGGAAACATTTATTGTATCAGAATCGTGGTGTAAAGGTAGAGGCTTAGAGGAACACTTCTAAGCAAACACAGTATGGACTTAGACGGTCGCTAGCATATCCTAGAATTTAGGCCAGCCACACTATATCCTCGTCCATCTCTCTTTCAATATGAATCGGCTCAATGATTCCAACAAGAAGCTAAAGATCATACTATAAGGCCTGACCTAAGGAAGTCTCCCTCCCACATTCCCTTTGTTCCAAAGTAGAACTCGCTAAAGCTCATCATTCCTCAACTGCTGCACAAACTGCATTCCTTGTGAAGTATTTGCCCAGAGAAGAAATATCTGCTCAAACTAAACTGCAATGTACTGAATATTTCTAGCACAACGTCAAGCGACTCTGCGGTGCTGAGTGATACCGAATGTGCGGCGCATCTGGAGTTCGGATAAACGCCCATAGGTCAACCCCCTCATTATTACAATTAGTTCCACTATCGCAAAGTGAGAAATATACTTACTAACATCAAACAAACCAGTCGAACGCAGTTTCTCCCAAAATTCCGTCTTCCATGGTATCAAAGCTCCATCAATACCCAACTCGTGCTGATCATCAGCTGCAACAGAAAACTCGAAAGGAAATTCGTATAGTCTTACTTAATAAAAAATATACATATGTGTAAGATTTCAAAACTTACCCAGGCCAATGCTAAGTAAGGAGTTTCCACCCAGTTGAATCAACCTTCGGTAAAGCTTTTTCGACGCGAAGTTGTATTTTTGATAGGAAGAGTCTCCCAATCCAAATACTCCGAAAGTTATCTGAAGGATATGACAGAGTAGTGGATCGAGACCAAAATAATGAAGAAAGGTAGGAAATTAACGAAACGATGACAATGAATGGGCTTCTATTCGAGTTTAATTGCAAATTTTAGAATCCTACCGGGTACTCAAAAGAATCCAAAAAACGAGGAAGGATTTTGCAATACTAATTTCTCACTAGATTGACAATGAGGATGACCCCTGTTCAGACAGCCATGCTGAAACTATATGCTGCAATGGTCAAAGGATACACCGTTGCCAAAAAATATCGAGATTAAAAGGCAAAAGCCTCAAAGAAAAAGAGAGCTACAAGGAATCTCCGAAGAAAGCTCACTGACACCAAAACTACGGCAAAAGATGATTTGAAAAGTAGAAAGTAGCCACTTCAAATATGGGGTTGCCGTAAGGGAAGTGGAAAAAGTTAAAAGGAAGAAAAACACCGACGTGATGGATATTTTCTACGTCCATTCAAGGCGTTTTTCAAGGGATGATCCTTGTTCATCTAAAGGAATTTTATACAAAACTTACACGTTGTAGCCAATCACGAGGAAGACTTTTTCGTAACATACGTAGCCATGCGGAGCGCATATTCGGAGGAATTTCCCCTTGACCTGTTGTTGCCACAACAAAAACGACAGCATGCTCGTTTGGCAAATTCTATAAACAAGAGGGTTTTTATCAAAGGGAAAAGGTAAGTCTCATCTCCACGTATTTTTGTATCCTTCTTGTCTTCATACACTTGTTAGTTGAAACTCATATTAAGTGTACTACGCTCGCCATAGGACGTCGCTTTGAAAAGTGGAGCAACAGTCGATGTCTTGAAGCTTCTTTACCCAATCGGTCTCGGGGGTGAGTAACATTCAAATAGGCCGTTGCGCCTCCCACACTGACACATTTCTTGATTTTAATAACACCATCCTAACTGAAATTTCCTAGTGATTGCTAAGCCTATTTGACTACGCCTCCCCAGTACCTTAGCTTCATTACTTTACTTTAAAACCACACTTTTAAATTCAGCAGTTGTGTTTGTAGATAGAACGGGTAAACATAAAAATTGTCAATGAAGTGAAGTTCAAATAAAGAAAGTAATTGGAAGGAACAGGGTGTGAAAAGAAAGTACCTCAACGTCATACTCATCCATACCAAACAATCGTGCAGGCACATCCAACAATCTTGCTTCCTTCCAAAGGCTTTCAGCAACATCTTCCGCTGTTCCGGTCTCACTGCCGTAGAGTATCAACAGCGAGTGCATTGTTCTACAGCTTGTGCTGTTCATGAAAACCTTTACTTTGAAAAACTACGTCGCATCTTGAACTTGAAAACACAATAAGTAAAAAGGAATACATCCTCCGTAGAAGATCGTGTATGTATGATAAATCGACAACGGAAGGAATCATATTTATTTATTTTAAGTAAACAATTAAGATCATGAGATACACGATAAGAGGTTACACGTTATGCGTAAAAGTTTGCAGAGGAAATAATTAACAATTCTCTGATCTCCTAAGAATTCACAAGGTAGAACATAAACGTATTAACATTGAAAACACAACGGTTATGGCTCACATCTACCAGCTTCCCTGAACATTTCCAAAAGCTTATCAGATCGTTTTCTCGCAAACGTCAGCGTGGCCCTTTTGTAGTAGTCTGACGCGATCTTTAGATTGTTGATAACATCATCAAGGAGAACTGCAGCCAGAGTTGTACTGGCGGGCGCGTCGTATTTCAAACTGAATAAATTATTTTAGAAATATCAGCTTATGCCATAGAAAACGCTATCTCCCTATCACTATTGTTCTCACTACTGAAAGATTACATTGATATTATCTATTTATGTATATTTGAAGCTGGAAATTTGAAATGAACGAAAAATTTGAGAAATGAAGAGAAGGTTAAACAGTGTCGATAAAACTCTAAAAAATTCCCTCCTTTGAAAACGATAACCTCGATAATTAAAAGCAAAGTGCGACTTATGGAAAACTTCACCTCACAAAGTGTATGTGGAGATGGTAGAAACACGGCTGGTAATGGAAATATGCGCGAATTTGATCAGGCCGGACACCATACTTTTCTCTTATAGCTGACAATGATTTGGTGCGAACATTCTCCAATAGAGGTAGATCATCCGCAGTCAGATCTCTAAAACCGGGTCAGGTGTGTATGAAGATATTAGAAACGAAGATAGAAGCGTACACACTATTGGAAGAGTTGAAGGAACCTCAGTTATTGTTTCAGCCTCTTTTTTGAGAAGGAAGTGTATACCGTATTGAGTACTTCCATCTACATCTCACTCACCGTATTGATCGGACGCCCTTCCGGTGAATCATTGCCAAGACATAGAGATTCTCCATCGAGGTGCCATCCCATTTAATATCAGGAGATAGGATAAAACCATTGTGTGGATCTGGATCTTCAAAAATTATTCTGTCAGCCTCAGACTCCTTTGATAAGATGTTATTAAGCCACTGAAATGAATAACATTCATTTATGGTTAGAGTCACATACAGTTACATTTGTTTCCATCAGAGAAATTTAACCCCGCTCGACAACAAAGCGATGGACACAGATCGTACAAGGTAAGCATGAGTAATGCCGTACCCTATCGTTGTGCCTAGGGAGTGAGCGAGTTGGTGCTAGCAAAAACAAAGCCCTAGGAATAATTGTAAACTACAGTAAAAGGGGGCCAACGATGGGATGTAGCAATCTATGTAGTTAAACAGTTTATTGATCTAATTCGCCTCCTTAATTATCTATCCTCCCTGGTAAACTTCCGCCCTTGAAAATATAATTCAATGATAATCATTATAAATAGGGGTTAAGGTAGGTTTTCGCGTTCAGGGTGAATACGCAGCCTCATTCTCAGGAAAATAATGCTCTAAAATCTTAACCGCGACTAGACTCAAAGAACTTGTTAGTAGAAAATCATAAAAAGGGTAAGAATAGAAGCAAGTCCCACCTTCAAATCCATTTGGTACTTTTTGATATATTCAACGGTGATAGTATTATAATCTTCAGCCGTTTCATGAATAATGTACTTCTCTTCTTGACGATATTTCGCTATTACTTTCTCATTCGCAGGATATATTAGTGTAGATTTCACCACTGAAATGAATACAGCGACAAAATTTCGAAAATTATTCTTTCTACTGTGAAAAGCTAGTATTATTATACCATTATATCCCGCATTAATATCCAAACAGCATTATTTTAACATGCTTACTCGAAGTTAATATTCCACTAGACGCTTTAGAGTAAAGACCGAATGAATTCTTTTTATCAATCTTCAAGGCTAAAATCACATACGATTCAGTTTTGGAGGTATAATCACATCGTAACTGCCAAAGATGTCATTCTTCATTATCTCGGAAAGCTCAGCCGATTCAATCATAACAGTGATATCCTCGACATTCTCAGAAAATGGCGACTTATTGAGGAGAAGCACACCCTGTTCCCCGCTTTCATGGGCTACAAGGATGAAAAGTGACTAAAAACAGTAATCATCAGACTAATTGAAAAGATCGAACATTCGAAGATGTCTACGTTGAAGTAAATTCTAAATGCTGGAAGAAATCATCACTTACCTTATGACTAGAATCGGAACCAAGAATTTCTTTGAATTTGGCACCTCTAAGCCATGCCTGTGCTGCATTTTCCTTAGTTTCGGGGACATTCTCCTGGGCATCCCTTATTTCTGTAGCTACCGAACCGTTTTCTCCATCACCCTTCATCACTACTTCTTGATCAGTCTGACTCCAGACCCTGCAAAAAATTGGCAAACGAGAGAACTATTGAAAAGGTATAGAGCACACAATAAATGAATGATACAGAGATAAATGAAATCATGAGGATTCTGAATAAAGAGTTACTTCTTCCAACTAAGTTTTTGCCTCTGGGGCATTGATTTTGAAGCATTTTCCCAAAAGTTCTGCGTGATGTTTATCTGCATCAAGAAATTTTGAAAAACACTTCAAACAGACCCAAAGAAATACGAGAAAGCCTTGTAACCTTCATTTAAACGAAAAGGCTGTAATAACAAAAAAAAATCTGAGAAAAGGCCTTAGGACTGAACTAGAATTGAAAGGTTACGACGTATACAAAGCAGAAATCACAACAAAAAGTATTAAAACTTATTGATGCGGAGAGAAACATGTGATGAGCCCAAAACCCCTTAACCTTAGCACCACCAAGATCTTTTGGCAACAGTCCCGCAGATAGAGGATAACGCGCTCCAATGCGTTTGCGAAAACGCAATGCAGCCGCTTCCAGAAATCAAGGTTTTGTAAGCTTCACGGTGTTGGTTGGCCAGCGTAAAGAAGCCAAGTCTCCTTCAAATATGTTCAATCAATCCAATGCTTACTTTTTAATAAGGTTCCTGCATAAGTCGTTCTGTTCCCAGATCTTGAATGATAAATGAATGTGGGGCTGACTAAGAAGGTCTTCAAAATCGAGGAGACCTTTGTGAAGTGGTTGTTTAAGTACTTTTATGTCTGATCGGGAAATTAACTACCCACCACGGTTGTGTGTCTGTTTTGGGGTTCACAAAAGCAATCAGTCAGGATTGATCAAGGAATGAGCTCATTGGCTAAAATTATTACAGGTTCATCCTACTATTAGTTTTTACTCCGAATAAGTACTAAAAAGAAGAAGTACGAAGTTGTTCTTTCCGTGATCGCTTTCTTCATGTTTTTAGTGTTAATATGATAAGTATGAAAAGGAAGGTAGAAAAGAAGAAAAAACGAACTTAAAGCTCAAAGCTTGTACCTTACTTCCGACCCCAACGGTTACACAGCTTCTGAAGTATGAATACTACAAGTTCTTGAAATTTATTTTTGGTACAAGCTGTGGAGCGTATTGTTGATTACTTCTGACCATTTTTTGTTTTGCTGGTTTATGTTGTTGGTTACCAACGACTTCAGATTTTTTAAACTAGGTACTGCAGTGTCTACCATCTCAGATTATCCGTAAACTTTACGCTGGTTAGTTCTCGTGTGACTGAATTGCTTACGTTGCAGGGTGCCAAATGTCCGGGCTCTCTCGGATAATTACTCGCATCCCGATTCGGCAGGCCTCGACCAACGCTCAGTTAGTTTTCAGTAGAATTAACTTCATTTCATTTCTCATTTGTTGTTTCGATCTAAAACACGACCACTGGTCATTGTCAGGGCATGAATATAGTAGGAATGTACACTCATTTGTCATTAGTTTTGAAAAAGCTCTATTTTTCTGGGCATTGAGGTAACTCTTCAGTATTTGCCGTCAGTTGGCTGGAAGATGTTTTGTAAATGTTTCTCATGTTGCACCTGAAAGCACTGCTCGCTGATTGAGTATATGGGCGAAATATCTCAGTGCTGATAGAGGAAAAGAGTCAATGTTCCGCTTTTGATAAAGTTTCCGTATCCTAGTCAAATATTTGAAGAAGAAATTCTCTTGGGCATACCAATTTGCACACTAAGATGAAGGTGGTGCTGCTCTCTGAAAGATTTTTTCTCATATTGTTCCTTTCAGGGATGCACACGCAATTTGGAAAGAAGTAAATCGGCTAGCCAGTGAAGGCAAATGGGACAACCTAAACAACCAGCCAAAATTGTTTCTGTTTGGGAAAGCTAAAAGGGAAACATACGCGGTTTACAGAGCCATGGTTAGTTATCTTTTATCATGCATTACTGTTATAGAATTTTGTATTGATATGCGACCAAAGAATTTGATGTTGTTTCCTTTTCATTTTGTCTATCTACATGTTATCTCTTCATTTTACTTTCAGAATACGAAGACGGACTACTGGTCAACAACTCCTTATGGACAATTTTTGAAAGGAATTTTCCGCTTGGTTGTTGCCTTTGCCGCCATTCAGGTAGTTGATGTTTAGTTCCTTTAGAAAATGAGATAACGCAAATGCGACGGGAAGTTGAAGTCACAGTATCAACATTGTTTAATCATCATACTTCAATTCTAACCAAGTATTTTTTTCTGAGACAATTGAGACAACTATTCCTTTTGAATTTTTTTACGGGCAGTACGGTAGATTTCTAGCCTTACTTACAGAAGTGTAAGGTCGGGCTGTGATGTTTATTTGGCTTCGCGACTGATGCTTACAGTGTTCAGTTCAACTGGATAATACTTTAATAAGTCTTGAAATATACTAGACTTAAAGGAGGGATTCGATCAAGCATTGGAAGAAGTCTCAAATAATTAAGTTAAAGGCGATGTTGAATATGTTGTCTTTATCCTTTAGAGTGCTCAGCGATTATTTCTGTTTAACAATTTATAAGACCCATTTGAATTCCATCTGGTTTTGTTGGAAGAGAGTTTGTTGTTATAGGAGGAAACATTTATTTATTTATTCATTTGTTTATTTATCTAGACATGTGACACAACCAACAACGTGTAAAACAGAATTATAATAAATCACGAAAACAACACTTACTACATCAACTAGTGGCATAATAGAAAAAATCCAATAATCGACATGTTTTTTGGAAGCAGCGTACTTCAACGGATACATTCGGGCGCAGAATATATGAAATATGTATGTACTCTCTGGCTGGAGAACTTTGGCCTTTGACAATTGGGTTTTGGTAGTTTAATTCGGTAGTTTAACGGTAGCTCCCCTCGTGTTTGATGGCAACACATTGAAGAAATGTGATACTTCACTCTCTCATATAGCCCAGGTCTGGTTTCTCACGTCGTCGCAAGACCTTAGATCAAAATCTTTGTTATAATTTCGGCGGAGGTTATGTCAAGGAAAACTGGAATTTTTCGAAGCTAGGCCCCTTCAAAAGTAGTTTCGAAAAACGTGTTATTCATTGCCCTGAAGATTGCATGCTGCCTGGAAAAATAGCGAAAACATGAAAATAGTTGAAATGTCGACGTGCTCTGTCGAAAGTTCAGTGGCTGTTCAAACCTTGTTAAGCACGACGTGTGGATGAATGAGACGGTACTAAATATTTGTTTTCAGGGGGCTGTGTCTTTGTACGAGTTCGTGGTCCCGGAAGAAAAAAGGCTCCACTACAAGTATCGCGAGAAACATGGGCACGATGAAGGCCATGGACATCATTGAGTTTCCAGGCATAGTTCATCTAATTATAGCGAAAAGTTGTAGATTATTCGAAGGACAATAAATCAGTACACATTTTATTTGCTTTTTGAGCATTTCTTCTTTCTATTACTGTCATTTATAGTTCTATATCACTGCATGTTTGGGATATTCTAGGGACCAGATGTTAGTTCATATGTTAACGAGCTTCACTATCGGCTAACCTTCGCAGTTATTTATGTTTGTGAAGGAACTAAGCTTATGAATACTTTCGTAAATTCTTGTCGTGTACGAAGGTCATGATCTAAAGGGGTACTTAGATAGGAAAAAAAAGTTTGTGGCTTTTGAAAACGTTTCAGTGGTTTATAGAGTAATTGCAAACAGCGTTTCTTTGGTATTCAGGTGCAACGAGGTTTAGCTCTGTCTGGGGAATCACCCGAAGGAACAATCAAGTGCAACAAGGGTTCTTAAGTTCTCTCCCTTTATTAGTTCTTAGATACGAAGCCAAATGATTTAGCAGAACTCAGATAACGACTAGCTTGACATGAATCGAAGCTCTCGTACACAGTCATTAGGTTTTATTGGGTTGTCCGAAAAGTTCCCGCCGATTTTCGACGCCCCGGATTTATCAACTGTTGTGCAGAAGATGAAAGGCCCAAACTCATAAAGTCATATGTATTCTGGAAGAGTAGGTCCTCCTCTATATTCCAGTTTGAATTCTGTCAACATTTGTTGGAGTTTGTCTGTACAGGACTCGTGTGAAAATGGAGAATCACTGCGCGCATT